ACATACCCTCAAATTAAAGCAGACAGTCTGCAGTTAACGCACATTGTGTTTGTTTCATTCCAAATCCATTGTGGTGGTGTATAGATCCAAAGATGTTAGAATTGTGTCGATGTCCCAATATTTCTGAACCTGACTGTATATACACACACACACACACATATACATATACATATATACATACACATACACACCCCACCCCGTGCTGGCTGGGGAATTCTGGGAGTTGAAGTGCACACATCTTCAAGCTGCCAAGCTTGAGTTACAAGGACTCCCCAATGGGGCTTATTCTGTCCCTCCCCAACTGCAAAGGATGTGGTGGGTGGGTGTAATGCAGGGGTCCCCGCACTCTTCAGCTCATCATCCCCTGCATGACGTTTCAGATTGTTCATCAACCCCAAAACATTTATTATAGGAAAATAATTGAACAAATACTACTTTAATAGTACTATGAATAGCAAGAATAGCAAGAACAAGAGCGTTGACCTCTTGGATAGTCCCAAAAACAACAGCATTGACCTCTTGGATAGTCCCATCAACCCAGATAGTTCCATCAATCAGTATCCCCCCATACTGACCACTTTGGGGAACCCTGGTCTAATGGAATCAAAGGAATCAGAAACTGGCAAGAAAAAAAAAACTGTTATAACCTTGAAAGAGTAAGATTCCCTGGTAGATCTTATTGGTCTCCAGTCTCTTCTAACTTAAAATCTCTCTCTCCCCCATCCCAGGTTTTGTGTAGGCCAGTGTGTTTCAACCTGGGCAGCTTTAAGACGGGTGGACTTCATCTCCCAGAATTCCCCAGCCAGCATTCTGGGAGATGAAGTCCACCCGTCTTAAAGCTTCCCAGGTTGAGACACACTAGTGTAGACTGTGCAATCATGCTCCAGGGCTGGATTTTTATGTGAGGGAGTCATTGTTTCATAGCGGTGGCTTCCTGGTTTCCAGGTTGACAATATATGGCAGCTTCCGTGGCTTTCCTATCTCAAGTAAACTAGAGGTAGGCGAGTCCCCATAGCTCTCCCAAACCTATCACCACTTACTAAGGTTTATTATTATTGATTAGACTTACTAAGGTTTAAAGTAGAAGAAGAGGGAAGTGATTTCACGCGTGGATGGGGAGTAAGCATGTATTATTCCACTCCACGACGACTTGACGGCATTTAACCAATGAATTACATGCAAATGCAACTGAAATCAAACCCGTTTTCAGGCTTTGTCCTCCGACGCACTGCGCGGCAATGGTTCCCAGCCTCCTTGCTGCCCCGTCAGATTCAACTAACCTTCGGGGAGGCGCCCTGATTTTGTTCCGCAGAAGCCGAAAGGGCCATTCAAAGAGCTACAGTAAGCTTCCTATGTCAGGAGTTTCTCATGGGAAGAAATTCATCCCATTATCTGTCCAACAATATTATGTCTCGCTTATGCAGCTTATGTAAACAAAACAACTTGTGACTGTGTGTCGTGCACGTCTACTGCTAATTACTGCCACCTATAGGCGTGTGTATGCTAGTTACCCAGTGGGGGGGTATAGAGTGACAATATAACTGGAGCATTGTATGCCCAGCTTTGCAGTTGTAGTTGCAGTGGAGCGTTAGCCACTATGTAGGTATGTAAGTTTATA